CCCCCCCCCCCTCCCCTCGTGAGTGTTACTCACACCCGATGCAGCACCACATACAACTACCTCTGTGTATGCCGCCATACGGAGGGGTCGTACGACCGAACGTCACGCGAGGAAACCGCGCCAGAGCTAGCCTCCTAATCGAGTCCAAGCTTGTGACTGCCTGCCTGTGTGCTGGGTGGGGAATCGGTAGGAACGCTCGTATATATTCTACGATAAGGATGTGACAAATATTATGGTCTGTATATACACTGGCTATCAATCATGCAGAAGTTAATTGTTAGTACCTTGCCAGGAAACACCCGTACTTTGCTATGGCACACCCGTGGTCCAACCTTGCTATAAACCAACGAGACGTACGTCAGCGTAAGTCGACGATGGTTTTGAAGGACAATAGTTTCCCGTGTCTCCTATGGACCCTTCCTCCTTGAATTGGGCTACGCCTCGAGCAATCATGTGTTTCACAGTCAATCTGCCGGCCCTTCCTGCCCCGCAGTAACAATTATGCAGGCCTGTCTCGGGGGGTGGCGCCAAATGCGAAGAAAGCTGCGGCGAGACCAAGGCCGGCCCGGCCCCGGCCTGCAATTTGCCAGGCCGCGCTCGCTTTAATTCTTGAGGGGCCGTTAACTGGGAGGCCGCTGCATTACTTGCCCTGGCCTGGCGGTGGAGGGTAGTCTCGGTGCCACCAAGAATGCCGCCGCCGCTGTCGATGGTTTTAGCGGCGCGCTCTATGTGCAGCAGCCGTCATTTCAAACACTAGACGGAAGCCAGACGAGACACGCTCGTACAAAGTTACATACACGCTGAAAAAATCGAGCTGTTGCTTATTATTTTTTTTCTTTTTTTAGCACTCTAGTCAAGTAAACTTTTAGAGAAAAATAAACTTCAAACCGTAGGTACATTTGTTAAGAGCATCTGGTGACTCCGGGCATACCGAACGTTTGAGGCGTGCTTTCATTCACACACCAGGACATACAAGCGCCCTTAGTTTACCGTCATGCTAGCCATGTTCTTTGATGAATCGCTGCGCACTGCGGGTTCTTCTATAATCTTTGTATGCAATGGGAATCCGCGCCAAATGGTTGAGTTAATTACTTTTTCATGTTTTTTTTAAACAGTTGTCTTTTACAGAATGGACGAAATAGAATTTTAAACTGTCGAAGCTATTGCAAATCTTGCGGAATTTTTTAAAGCGAAACGTAAGGGTTGCGTAACTCCCTGTAAATGTCTTCCAAACGAATCAGTGCATCTTCCCAGAGTGGCGTGATACTGTGTGCGTGTATCTGCACACGGCACTTCCCCCGATAACGTCACACCTGGTGGTGGTGGCAGCGGCGGTGTGCCCGGGCCCTTAGAGTATCGATTGGAGTTCCCTGATCTATGTCCCCTGGCGCTGGCCCGCAGCCGATCCCGACCGCTGGGCGCCGCTGGGTGCCAGGCGCTAACCCAGAAACCCAATTCCCATGCATGCGAACCTTGCATGTTCCTGGCCATAACCCCACCCCGCAGTCCCGCACCCCCGCAGGGCCCTACGCTGCTTGGCGCTGATTCCACTGCGTTATTGTGAATCTCGTGACTCACAACACGTGATAACACCATAAACGTCGTGAAACGTGGGGCTCGATGATCTCACTGTGGTATCAGAGAGAACTTTTAGTTTTCCTAGTTACACATTAATAAGGTCAGGTCACGAGAACGGAGTGCAAAGTATACAAAATGTGAACTTAACGCACAGTCTTGTAGACGGATCTGTTACCCCTTCTGGAACACATTTCCGTCCACATGTGTTTGTAGGTATTGTAATAGAACACTTCATACACCCTTTTCCAGAGTATTCCTTAAAGTGTCTTTCTATTCGGGAATTCACAATTTTTTCCTTAGAGAAGTAATAAAAGAGAAACAACGAAATTTCTTCAACCTTCTGACATCGACAAATGCTCGTTTTGGAGTACATACGCACCCTCTAATGATCTCTTTTCCCCGCGCCTTTCTATTTTCTTTTTGCATCTTCTCGTCGCGTGTTACGCGTGTGGCGGCGGTTCAGCGTGGTGCTTACCGGAAAACAATATCAGTATGAAAATAGAAAAGCTGCACGAATATGCGGTCGCGCGGATTGTTTTCCTCTGCCTTCTCTTCCTCTTTTCCTTTCCATCATATAATTTTTTTCCATTCTTATTTCCTCTTGCCAGCCTCCCACCCTTTCCTTCCTTCCTTCCTTCCTTCCTTCCTTCCTTCCTTCCTTCCTTCCTTCCTTCCTTCCTTCCTTCCTCCTTTCCGGCTCCTTTCCTAGTCCACCCGCCCTCGCCCGCTCCCGTAACACGTTCGAAGACACATTATCGTTTTGCGGCGCGCAGCGGAGCGCATCGAGACAAGAAGCAGCGGCACGCCAGAAACCGAGCGGCTCGGAAAATCGTCGTCCATATGCGTGCGCCTCGTGGTGCGGCGGGGTGTGGCGGATGCGCGGGGGTGCGGAGTGTGGAGCAGACCCGCCGCGATCACTTTGATTTCTTCGTCTCTTTGCGACGCGCAGTTGTCCTGCTTGGTTTTCTGCTCATATCACGCGCAAGTCGTTCCATCTTTTATCTGCATCCGAACGGGCTGTGGCAGGCTCAATGTACTTTCGGATTTAATATATTTTGGAAGAAAAATATTCCGCAGCCAACAAGGCGATTTTTGTTTTGTGTTGGGCTACCGTTATTGTATTCCATACGACACAGGGGGGCGACCCTTGTTCAGGAGAGGGTGGCCTAGGCCTTCCTTCGGCGGTGGGGCACCGAGGAGGACCCCCGGGGACTCTGGCCCGGAGGTCATCAGGAGGCCAGGCCAGAGGGACCCACACCCAGCAGCCTGGCCGGGGTGGAATTAGCGATGGAAAGTGCCGGGTCTAGGGCGGAGGGCGGAGTGGGGCAAGAAGTGGCCGCCGGCCCAGTCGTCACGACGACCCGGCTGGATATTTACTGTATACAGCATCGGCAGTATGCGTGCATAGCGAACACCCATGAACTGCTGCCATCTCTCTTGTGCCAGAAACAGTGAGATATTTCGCAGAATGAGGGAATCACCGTGGAGGGAACTGACTGAACGCTTATGCATTTTTTTAGCTGTTGATGCAATTATAGAATCAACCATAAGATAAATTACTGCTCAATTAACAAAGTATATTTGTAGTAAGAAACAATATAACGTAAGAGTTGCTGCCGCGAATATATCCGGCTGCACTGCGACCTCGATGTGGTTGTCAGCGCCACCAAGATCTGCACCGTCGGCGGCTCCAGCCAGGCTCACGCCCAGCACTTCATCGAAACGTCCGCCACAACGCGAAGGACATCAGCACCTCCAGCGATGGCGGCGCAGATCGGGAAGGTGATGAAGAACGGGAACGAGGTGTCTAGCTTCGATTGTTCAACGCAAATGTATGCCAAGTATGGCAAGTCACGGAAGAACGTTAGAATCATTCGTAAGACGCAGAACATTCGTTCAGGAGCCGCTGTAAGGAAAGGGAATGTATAAAATTCAGTTCAGTGTTTTTACATACCTTCTAAACGTTGAAGCGCTGAGAAGTGCATCTTACCTAAACTGTTGGTTGCCTCAGTCTCCGCCAGGGCAGCAGCAGGGCCATCAGGGCCAGCAGGGCCCGCCTTGAAAACAGTGCACGCATTTGATAACAATGTGATGTGATTGCATAGCATTTGGCCCCATCGTTTAGTTCTTTAGCTCAACGATGCCGTGAAAGGATTTCATCTCACGGAACTGGGCTTTCGTATCATCTAACTTTACGCTAGGCACCATGTCCGCAACTAAAATGTTACGTAAACGATGGAGATGCGGGCGTCCAACTCAAGCTCGATCTCCAACTTTTATGAGTTCAAATGATAGATCTTAGTCCTTCGGTCTTTCCTCACCTGACTAAACTGAAGCGCTGCCAAAAGCAGACAGGCCAGCAGGGTAGTCTTCATTATTGCCTTCATGGTGGCTCGGACGACTTGAGTGTGTGGCTGCGATTGGAAAGACTGTGTATTTATTGTTAGTCCTGCTGCTTGAGGTACCAGTCCACAGTATAACTTATCGTAGAACTGACCGCATCACCTGAGTTAATCAAGCTCACGCGAGGGTCTAAGAGATCAACAGCTTATCATTACATCGATTAAAATCGGCAAGGGTTCCGGGGAATTGAGGACAAGAGGAGCACATCCAGCAGCTATCGTCGCCTGCCCACCCTTCAGTTTGTATGGCCAGTTTCTTCAAGTGTGTGCGGCAATATAATAGCTCTTGACAGCTATCACCGCCCCCGCACACTCAACTTTTTGTGGTCAGTTTTTAAAGTGTGTGGTGTAATGGCTTTTGTCGGCGGTCCTGCTAGAGGTCCTGACAACTTATCTTGACCGAAGGATTTCAGTCCGCACCAGAAGTGCAGTCCTACCCGAGCCGAGCTGCAGCCCATGTGGCCCGGGCCGACCTGCCTGAGCGGCGGGGGCGGCCTATTGTCGGCCCGGATAGGGTCGGTGCGATTCCTGAGCGGCCTGTATTTCTTTTGTTCTCCGGGTGCGAGCTCGAAGGCCTCTTCGGTCAAGATAAGTTGTCAGGACCTCTATCATCCCGTAGTAGTAAATCTCTTCTGATCTCATGTGTTAACAAATGTACTCATATGTTCTGATAGTGTACTTATCCCCGTGCGTCCCCGTGCGTATTGTTTTCATCTTTGTGATGTGCTCGTCCTGCATTTACCCTGTACTCATCTGTATCATTGTATGTCGCTAAACCAGCCTCACTGTACGCATGAGTACACGCTGATTACGAAGGAACACATTGAATGGGAAACAAGTTAGGCCTGCTGTTCCGCCAAACCAAGTTGCCAGCTCTGCTTCGCTCCACTGGCATCGTGGTTCAGCGGGGAGCGGGCCTGAAGACTATACCCTAAAGAAAATAAATTTACTCGCTGGCATACTCTGAAATGACTCCGAACGCGAATACAACAACAACAAAAAACAAAAACGAAATGTATGAGAGTTGGAGTTACTCCCTTTTGATGTGTACACATGATTCCCGAAATCCTTGATTCCCAGTGATTCCCGTCCACTTATGTTCATTTCTTAGGTTTTCTAGTGGCGGAAAACGCTTATTTTGACTAATTTGAACGAGTTCCACTAAAGTTCCGCTTATTTTAAGTGATTTCTGTTGATTTTGATTAAATTTTATCCTGACAATTCCCAGGCAGTTGTACACATGATTCCCGGAGTTATTGCCCCCTCGGTTAATGATATGCCACCATTAAATAAGACCACTCTTCTGGTTTGAAGAACATTTTGAACCAATGGTTTTATTAAGGCATACTAAGCCATTAGTGCTAAGACATACCAAGACAATGTGTGCCCAAACGGTGTACGCGTGGAGGTCCGGTTACACAAAATTCGATCTGCGGCGGTCCGGTTGCGGAACTATCATCAGCCATAGTTGCCATAAATATGCATAATTAATTATTGAGAAATTTTATACAGAGTTAAGCATGAATTAGTGTATAATAATGTGGCTTCCTATAATTCTGAATGTTTTGCACAGCAAAATGCATAAGGGTTTCGCGTGAAATGTGTTAAAAAAAAATGAGTCAAGAAATCTCAAAACGAAATCAAACAAGCGCAGATATTTTCAATTGTGTCTTTCGTAAATTTACATAAATGGTTTCCTTTCGCGACGACATTGGGCGGTGCGCGCGCCGCGAGGTGCGATCGCCTTCGCCTCGACCTACGCACTTTACACGTCGCGTGGCGTGGCGCGGCGGGGCGGGGCGTGGGTGATAGCCGCCGGCGCCGCGCCTTTTCTGTTTGCTAGGCGCAATAAAAGTGAAATGGGTCCACTTCACCTCTATTGATTCGTTTGCGCAGTGAAAACGTGTCGACACCCCCGCCCCGTCCTATGTGTGTGTGTGTGTAGTATATGTGTGCGAGCGCGTCTATCCGCCCTCTCTTTGTCACTTTTCTCCCCATATCTCCGTCTCCTCGCAGTGCGTCCCTTCTGATATCTGATACCTAAGGTGGTTGTGCATTGTGCAGCCAACGTTGGCGGATTCCCTTGTACATTGCTGGTTCACATTCAGTAATAGACGGGTGACATAGGGTGACCCCCCCCCCCCCTCCTCTCACCTCGCTACACCTCTTTCTCTGCTACGGAGTCAGTTGACCGGCCTCAAGCCTTGTGAGGAGCCCGCTGGTCGGCACAGTGACGCAAAAGCAAACAGTCTTACGACAGCAAAGCGTGTCAATAACTGAGCCACAGAGGGAGGGGGCTAATGGCTGGGACCACTTAACTTTACTCTGCAATGAGCCTCATACCAGCCCGAATCCTGCGGCTCGCCGGCTGAGCGCGGTCCTTCCCCTGGGCCCTCTTGTGACATGACGGCCATGCGTGGCCAAACCGCAGTGCAGAGAGAGAGAGAGAGAGAGAGAGAGAGAGAGAGCATACATCGCATCGCGGTGCACTGGGCCGAGCAGGCATGCGACCACTGGCCGCACCGCACAGCGATGCCGTGTGAATGACGCAACGGGCATGACCGCATGGGCCTCGCTGTACCCCGTCCCACCTCGCCCCGCTCCGCCTCGCCCCATCTCACCACGCCCCGCCCCACCACGCCC